ATTGTGGATGCTCTAAGAAAACAAAATCACCGTGTTTGGAGACAAAATCAGAGGGCTTGGTGGATGGATTTCAGGCTCAGGCCCCATACAATATTACCCGCAAGAATCACAATGAATCTAGCTCCGAGTCCGGGCCATGGCCATTCGAACCACTGGCACCCGAACCTTCAGTAGCACAAAACCTTGGATAAAGGATCCTCGGGTCGATCACGAAGGTGATGATTTTTAAATAGCACACAACCACTCTGATTCTTTTGCACCCTGTATTTTATGTCCTCTCACCACTCACAGTGCACACACAGAGCACATGTTCTTTAGTTACTCACGCACACACCTTGCTGAATTTTCCTACACCTTCAGCACACCCACAGAGGTTAAATGAAAAGGTTGCTAAATAGGCTAAAAAGAGAAAAAAACAAATTAGAGTGATTTTTTTGGGCGATTTCGAATTTGAAAAACAATTATCTCACAAAGGTTTTTGGAAGGAGTGATTGGGGGAAAACGGCAGAAAAGATAACTATTTTTGCCGCAAAAAAGAATGTACAAAGGCCTTATTTGCTATTAAGGAGATGGGCCGGTAGACCGGGCCGGTGAATGTGTTTTTTTTTTGGGCCATCCACAAAGGTCATTTGGGCCACAAAAAATAACGATCTCCACCTTGGCCTAAAGCCAATTCACAAGATTGAGGCTTATAGGAATCATCGTCGCCTTACCTTACTGTGCCTGCACTTAAACACAAAGTTAGAGCAAACATATCAGACATAAAGTCGACTACGTCACATAGAGTCACATAACACGTATCATAAATCAAATTTTTAAAGCAACATGACATCAATTTAGAATCCAGTAAGAACAACTTTCTTAGTTTAGAAACATACGACCACATATTGTTCACATGCAAGGACTTTATCGTATTTTCCATAATATTCATCCAATGCAAAAAATTACCATGTTTTGAAGCATACAGAGCCCTATTTCTTCTAGATCTATCTCTAGCCAAATGATAATCATGCAAATCACAAAGATCAAATCCAGGCAAATTTTCAACAATTTCCTCGTGCACAACAGTATCAACATGATTATCAAGCTCATTTATTGATGATTATTCGAAAACGAGTTCTCATCAATAAATTTTTATATTTTTTACTTATTAAAGTAAATTATTAAAATAAATTGAACATAAATAAATTTTTATTTTTTTACTTATTAAAATAAAATTAGTTATATATATTTGGAAATAAAAAACAATAACGTTAAAATTAAAATAAAAATAAACTAGATTAAACTACACCGGTTAAAATTAAATAAAAATATTATAATATAAGATAACAAAGTATAAAAATTGGCAAAATAAAATAAAATAAAATATTATCTTATATTATAAAAATAAATATTTAATTAATTTAATTTTATTTTATTTTAAAATATTATCTTATATTATAAATATGAATATTTTAATTTTACAATTTTTTATTTTATTTTATTTTACCATTTATTATATTTTATTATCTTATCTTATATTATTTTTGTTTAATTTAACTAGTATACTTTGATCTAGTTTATTTAATTTAATTTTATCATTATCATTTTTCATTTACAAATTTATATAAGTAATTTTATTTTAATAAATAATAAATATAAAAATAATTTATGTTTAATTTAATTTAAACGCGTTGTAGTATAATAATCATCTTACTTTATTTTAATTTATTCTTTTATTTAATATTATATAATTTTTATTGTATTTTAGTTATTATATGTTTATATTATTAATGTAATTTACATTATCTATAAAGTTTAATTGTACTTATTCACACGTAAGGTAT